TATCTCCTTCGGGTAATACATCGACTAAATCTCCAATATGACTTAATGAACTTGGCAGCGTTCTCAACATGTAATTCAATTTTTCTTTTTCAGTCACAATTATTATTTCACGTTCAATTATTAATTTTTCAAATTCACTGTAGAATTCACTTGTTTTTGAATAATTTCTTAAAGTAGTTTTATCTAATTTATTTCTTACAGATATCTGTAGTGAGGTTGATTCGTGCGTATATAGTTTATCTAATTTCTCAATTATTCCATAATTTGTTGATTCATCATCTATAAATTCCATTTGTCTATTTGACAAGGCACTATATATATATAGTTCATCGCCTTCAAATCTGTATCATTCCATGCGGCTTCATTATTCGTTCCGGCTCTCTCTCGTTCAATAACTTTTTCACACTTCTTCATTCTCAAAAATATCGTAATTCTCGTCTTCCACGTGCTGTAGTCTTTTCCATCGAAAATTGGTAGCGTCATCTTGAACTCGTCCGCCGTATTGACTCCTCTCTTTTGTTCGTTTTCTTCAGAAGCTTTATTCACTTTATTTAACGCTATGATTTTCTTCGCGATATCCACAAATCGTTTTCCACTTTCTTTTGTTTTACTGAGTTTTTGATCACTTCACTTGAACTCTCTTTACCTTTTAGATCACTTTTCGAGCCGCTGCCACGTGTTCCCATAATCTCACTTACTCAATGAACCACGGACCCTGCTACCATGTTGAAATGATGTTACCATATTGTTTATTGATTATTTAAAACTTTATTAATTATCGGACATTCCTTAACATCATACCACCGAACATGTACGCTAGACATGCAAGAAAAGAACAGTCTGTCCGGACGTTTCATTTCTTATGCGTTCTTTATTTTCTCTTCGCGGAAATTGTCTTGATTCTCGCTTCGTGTTATTCGAGCTGCCAAAGTTCTTCCGTTCGAACATGCCGTCGTTTGCGTTCGGCCGCCACGCATTCTCGCTTCCGATTCTTCTAGAAGCTTGAGTGCTTTCAGTGCTTCAGGTGTCGGTAGGTAATCTTTCCTGCGTTTCAATCGCTATTCTGAAACTTTTGTAATAATCTGGGATGCTATATGTATAGCAGCAGGATTGTGAGCAAATAAATCGTCGACGATTTTTAATTCCATGTCTTCTAATTTGTCCACAACATCGAAAAAGTTTCCTAAATGGTCATTCATGCTGTCGTCGTCGCGCATCTTGTGTAGAATAAGACGCTTTAACAGCATTGCTTTTCGGGCAGGTCCTTTGGACTCGTATACTGCTCTCGTGCAATTTTCCCATACATCTCTTGATGTTTTGCAATCTTTGATATGTTTAACTTTTTTTTGCCTTCACATCGGCTATATCCCACGCCGCTGCCTTCTGTTCGGTACGCGTAATGGCCCGAACTAGCATAACCCCAAGCGTCATTTTTTATTAGCAACGCTTGAATTTTCCGAGTGGTTCGATTCTCACTGTTTGATTCATTTTTAATTTTCTTATCGCGTGTACTGCTTCGTAACGTTTTTCGTCGAAACAGGAAGGTTACCGCGCGCGCGCGCGCGCGTCATGTGTTCTTTCGATCGCGATAGTCGCGTGTCATTATTTTCGCATACGCGTATTTCGCTGTTTCCAACTGTGCGCACTTAGCATTCACTTTACACTTTACTTTATCATTTTAGAATGGTCTGGGCCCATAGCCTGTAGCAGAGGTTATAGAAATGAAACAAAAAACAGCTCATAATATATTTTAGGTTACGTTTAATGCATATGGCACGTATCATTGCATACATCGTACCGCTACTGGCCAGTGTTATAACATACTAAAAAAAAGACGGCGCACACGCCTGCCAACGAGGTAAAAAGAAATACCACCAACATACGCATGTTTGCCAACATGGAAATGAGAAACATTTCGAACATATCTATAGATTAATAAATATTTACATTAAATTTAACAATCTTATAGAAAAAGAAATAAATTATAGATTAATAATTATATTTGTTAGAATCTAAGGGTTCTAACCGGGGTCCGGATGAGGGAGTTGACAGGGAAAGAGAAGTTGCTCAGATTTGATTTTTCTTTCGTTTGTCGCTTCGCGACAAACCGTTTATTTTTACAAAAAAAATATGAAAAAAAACTAAAAATCAAATAAACTATAAAAAAAAATATTTTTTGCAACGGCCAGGGGGGTGGAAGGCCTCACCGGTGTTGCCCTGGCTGGGTCGGTCCTTGATTGCTGAAACAAAGGATCGACCAAATTAACTACGTGTGTGTACGTAATGTAAATACACGCTCGTCAGCTGTTCGACTCGCTCTCCTAGCGACTATCGGTGCGCTCGGAGGGGGAGATCAGCTGTCGTTTAGCGTAATTTAGTGGACTGTATTACGTTGCTCGCGGATAGTTTTTTATTTAAACTATCGACGAGACTTTTGCCCTGAACAGAGGAGACTTGACTCGATTCTGTCGGGGGCTCTGCGATGCCACGGATGGGTCACCAAATGGAGGTTGTAATTCTCCAAGTGAGTGGGTCCTGTGAGCACGTTCACCGTGTGGGTTGACGTATAAACGTCGCGCGAGGCGTGTTGTTTCTGCTACACTTTATATCTACTGTACAGCGACCGTTAATATCGGGGACTGTACAGTAAGCGAATTTACACAGAAAAAACCTCGGGCTGGTCCAACCGCACTATAAAGCCTACCCGGCAACCGTATTTACGGGGACCGTATGTGGTAGGCGGCGTGACGGAAGGGAGGCGCTTTGAACCTGAACTCCGCCGTTGAGTGTACGGTCGACTCGTACACCGACGGGTTTTCGGAGAGGGTCCGCAGTGGCCTTTACACGGTAAACACTCCACGAGGCGGTACCGAACTATCGGTAGGACCTTTGGGAGGCTCCGAAGCCGTATAGTTTGAAGGGATTCTGGGTGCTCGCGGTCGCGCGGCAACGACTGCAACGTACAATCACTTCCTCGCGCTCGCGGTCGCGTCACGCGCCGCGTGTACTACGACCACTTATGCGTTTGGTAGATTGTTTTTTGTTTCGAAATCTCTAATCGCAGCAACGATGAGAATTCTTTTACATCAAGTCCAAAAAGAATTATTGCAGATAAGCGTTTTGCTTGTTCTGCGGAGCGCGTACTGTAGGAGCGAGATCTTCGGGGATCTGCTCCCGTTGGCAATCGGCTCGTGAATAATCCAAAATTCGTCGAGCATCGACAGACGAAGACTCGGTCGTGCCTTGTCGTCGCGACGTGGCGCTGTCGAGTCCGACCGTCGATCTCGTTTCAATAAATGGTATGGTTCTCTCTCTCGACGCTGACGTCACTAAGCCGTTTAAATGGCGTTTGAAGCGAATCTTCGCGTGAGGTCGGCGTACAAAAAACACGTAAACGGCCGCGGTTTTAAACTGTCGGTACGCCGAACGAACTCGGCGACAGCTTAACCTTCCGAAGTGTCACGTACACAAACGATACGGGAATCGCGGTCGAGATTTATTCTTTCCCGGACGAACGCGATTTTAAATATATTTAACATATTTAAACAATATTATATATAACAAATTATATTATATCTGTTTAAAGATTGCATAATGCCGAGCGATTAGCCTCGGCCGCAATTACCGTTAATCCTGTTAACGTACAATAACCAAGAGATTATCTCTAATTGGATTTGTATAGCGAACGGTGATTGAAAAACGTGTGTATTATTAGTTTTTCTGGCATCGGTGAATCGTACCGTCGCGGCCGGTACTGGCCAGGTAGTCGCGTGAGTTTTCTTTTAAACTCTGAGGGGTTGTAAGGCCCTCTTAACCCTCGTGGTACGCGGGTTCCTAGCCGTCGCTCGCCAAATTAATCTTGAGCGACTAGTTAATTGCCGGATTGTTTCGAATCGAAATCCGGCTGTTCTCTTTAATGTCGAATCACGAGTTGTTGCTCACGAACCGCTTGAGCTGAGGTTTCGCGAAATGATGTTCGAATAACGAATGGTTCACGAGACGATTGAACTGCCGATTTTGGAACGTTTACTCTGAGATTTCAGCGACGAGTTAAAGTGGATTTCGACCGTTGTTTCGACTTTTCAGCGACGAGTTAAAGATTTTCGATCGTTGTTGTCTGAGGTTTCAGCGACGAGTGTCGAAGTGTCCGGAGCCCGTTTCCTCCTCGGCTTGAACCCCCTCCGAGACGCGATTTTGGGGTTCGTCAACCGATTCGCGTTGACTTTTTCCGTTTATCGATTGGCCATCGACTTGGGGGAGGAGGATCGATTTTCCTGCCCCGTTGGCCAGGAAACTCCTCCCTCGCGCGATCGTGGAGGAGGAAGAGTCCCATCTCACCCTGGACGAGGGTGACCGAGGTTTCCTCCCCAAGTCGAAGGCCCCGTTAATTTTGCCGAGGAAAAAACGGGACTCCGAATTACGCCTAGCTACACGTGCGTTGCAGACGTTTTTATGGCTGCATTGTTCCATGAGTTGGCGACGGTTCGTTGTAGAGGACCGTGCCACCCGCGGAACAATGCAGCCCTTCGTCGGTCAACTCGGGCCTTGCACTTTCGAAAAGCTAAAGTGCTTGAATGCTTTACGATGAAATTTGCCAGATGCGGAATGTTCGAAGACTTTTTCGACAAAGTCAGGTTCCGCATCTGGCACCATAAACGAGCGGAAAAACCCGAGCTGACCGGACGGAACATGCTCCCCCCGTTGAACGCGGAAGGCGTTCAAGAGGTTGAATGGTGACCGATTCGTGTCACGGAGCTAAGGTGATGCGATTGATTCGATTATGCGATTACGATAATTGCGGATTACGACCGCTAAACGACTGCTCAACGCTTTGAGCAGTTTCGATTTTTTGCCCATCGAACGCTGGGCCGGCTGCGCGCTGCTGTGCCGGGGGCTGCTTGGCTGGTCCGCACGATGACCGCTCTGATTACCCCCTTCTGGTCCGGTGTGCCTCCTCTCGAAACGGGCGAGGTGCTCCTGGAGCAGGTTGGACCGTTGTCCTACAGCGGTGCGGGATGCGGTGATTGCGGATTACGACCGCTAGGCGACTGCTCAACGTTTTGAGCAGTTTCGATGTCGTCCGTTACTGGAAGCTGGGCCAGCTGCTTGACGCTGCGCCTGTAGCTGCCGTGGCTGGTCCGCACGGTCGCCGCTCGTGTTACCCCGTCTGGCCCAGTGTGCATCCTTTCGATTCGGCCGAGGTGCCACTGGAGCGGAGGTAGGTGGTCGTCCTTCAAGACCACCAAGGATCCCTCTCGTAGATCGTGGGATCCCTTGACCCACTTTTGTCGTACGTTGAGCTGGTTCAGGTACTCTTTGTACCACCTGTTCCAGAAGTCGCGTTTTACCTTCTGGATATGCTGCCACTTCGACAGCCGGTTGACAGGTGTATTGCTGAAATCGGCCTCAGGTAGGCTCGTCAAAGAATTACCAATTAACAGGTGGGCTGGAGTCAATGCGGAAGGATCGGTTGGGTCGGCGGAAAGTGGAGTTAGCGGACGTGAATTTAGGATTCCTTCGATTTCGACAACCAAGGTGTTGAACTCTTCGAACGTAAAGAGTTCTTCACCGACCACGCGTTTTATGTGGTGTTTGAACGACCGAACCGCGGCTTCCCATAGCCCTCCGAAGTTCGGTGAGAGGGCTGGGATGAAGTGCTACGATATTTGTTTGTCGATAAGCCATCGTTGTACCCCTTCGTCGGCGTTAAGTACCTGGTGGAGTTTCGATAACTCATTGTCCGCGCCGACGAAATTCGTTCCGTTGTCGGAGTAAATATTGCGGCAGAGTCCTCTTCTAGCTACGAATCGTTTTAAGGCAGCGATGAAGGTTTCGGTGGTCATGTCTCCCACTACCTCAAGGTGCACCGCCTTGGTTGCAAAACAAACAAATACCGCAACGTAAATTTTGACTCGATTTCGATTCCGGAATTTTTTTTCCTTTACGTAAAACGGACCGCAATAATCGATGCCGCAATTATCGAAGGGTCGGCTTTCGGAAACGCGTGCCGCAGGTAAGTTGCCCATGACGTACTTGGTTATTGGGGGGTCGACCCGAAAGCACCTGACGCACCGGCGTACGATTTTGCGTACGGTGTTTCTCCCATCCATAGGCCAATATTGCTGGCGGACGAGGCATAATGTCGTGTTAATCCCGGCGTGATGATTCTCGACATGTGCGTTTCGAATTATTAATTCCGTTATCGTGTTATTTTTGGCAACAACACTGGGTGTTTTTGCTCATATGGCAAAGCCGAGTTCTGCAGCCGGCCGCCGACACGTAAGAGTCCCTTATCGTCCAGGAAGGGTCGTAGCGCTAAGAGTCTGCTGGCCGATTGTAACTCTTTTCCCGTTTTGAGCTGTTGGATTTCTCTGGCGAAGACGGACGCTTGGGTGAGCTGCAGAATTCGTTCGTTCGCGTGGTGCAGCTCTTCGATCGTTAGTGGACCCCTGTTACTGTTATTCCCTTTGAAGCGCAGGCAGTACGCGATGATTCTGCGCAAACGCTTTATTGACGAGTACCGGTGCAAAATTTCTTCGGAATGACACGTTTTAGTTACGAAGCACGTAAAGGGTCTCGCTTCAGGTACGTTTGACGTGATCGTATATTGCGAGGGCGGCCAATTCAATTCCGATTCGAGAAGCCACGTGGGTCCGTTGCGCCAAGTTGAATTGGTTCGAAATTGCCGCGCCGATTGTCCTCGCGATATCATGTCGGCTGGGTTGTCGGCTGATTTAACGTGTCGCCACGCGGTTACGCTTGTCTTCTCCTGGATTTTGGAAACGCGATTTGCCACAAACGTTTTCAAGGTGCAGGGTTCCTTGTTGATCCAGTTGAGAACGATGGTCGAGTCGGTCCAAAACGTGATCTTGTCGAATGATCGCGCGAAATTTTGGAGAGCGGTCGTATGGAGATTGGCCAGCAACAGTGCTCCGCACAATTCGAGACGGGCGAGGCTAACGGTTTTTAACGGTGCAACGCGCGATTTTGCACATAGCAACTCGACCTTGATTTTTCCGGCTTCGTCTATGGTTCGTACGTAGAGACACGCGCCGTACGCGCGTTCACTCGCATCGCAGTATCCGTGCAGCTCGGTTCTCATGGTTGCGCGCTGCGTTACGTGGCGCGGGAAGGCAATTTTGTCCAAGGTGCTGAACTCTTGCACGAAAGCTGTCCATTCGGTGTGCAATTCATGGGGTATCGATTCGTCCCAATTTAATTGCAGCCGCCAGAGTCCTTGGATCAAAATTTTTGCCTTGATGATTACCGGCGATAGTAGCCCTAACGGATCAAAGATTTTCGAAATAGTAGATAGGATTGTTCGTTTGGTTATTTTCGCGTCGGTTTGGAGGTCCACCGTATAGACTATTTCATCGTTGCGAGCGTCCCATGAAAGTCCCAAGGTTTTGATGGATGAGTCGCCGAAAAAATTTTGGGTGGATTTGTTCCGTCGGTAATCCGGTTAACAATCGCGGGTCGTTCGATACCCACTGTCGAATATTCAATCCTCCGCGTTTTAGGAGGTCGATGACAGAGTCTCGTAAATGCAAGGCTTGCGCGTAAGTATTGGCTCCGGTTAGCAAGTCATCTATGTACAAATCTTGCGTTACCACCTTCGCCGCGATCGGGGCTCGCGAACTTTCGTCTTCGGCCAGCTGTTGTAGGCATCTGACCGCGAGATATGGAGCTGATGATAATCCGAATGTGACTGTATTCAGTTCATATGCCTTAATGCGTCCGTCGTCGTCGCGCCACAAGATTTGCTGATATCGACGATCCTCCGGACGGACGAGGAACTGCCGATACATTTTTTCTATGTCTCCGGTGAGAACATAGTTGTGCGTACGGAAACGCATAAGGAGGGCGAACAAATCGTCTTGGATAGTGGGCCCGGTCATGAGGCCGTCGTTAAGCGAAAGTCCGCTACTCGATTTTGCCGAACCGTCGAATACGACTCGGACCTTAGTGGTGGTGCTCGATGATTTTACGACGGCATGATGCGGCAGGTAGAATCCGTCCGTATTGCTGGCCTCGTTTACCTCGCTCATGTGCCCGAGCTCTAAGTAATCTTTGATTACGGCCACGTATTCGCGTTTTAATTCCGCGTCGCGATTAAATTTCCGTTCGAGCGACAAATAACGAGTGAGAGCGCGCGATCGTGACTCTCTAAGCTCGGACTCCCTTCCGTTGAAGGGTAACGCGACGACATACCGTCCCGATTTATCGCGTTTAATATGATCTTTGAAATGATCTTCGCAATCCTGCTCTTCTGCCGATAAATGTCGGATGTGGGGACCCTCCTCTAACTCCCAGAATTTTTGTAAATCGAAATCCGGGGTAGCGAAGAATGTCCGGTGTTTCGCGCGCGCCGTTGCCGTAGGGCCGCTCCCCCCGATGACCCATCCAAATTGGGTTTTCTGCAGAATCAGATCCGACTGCTCATTGGAGGAGAGGTTCAGTTGACCTATGCTTAAGCTTGCCATCGTCGGTCCGGCGCTTATAAGCATGTCAACTGGAGCCGGGCGGTGAAATTGCGGATCGGCCAATTTCACGTTTTTCGGTATCGGAATTCTGGCGCGGTCGATTTGTTGATCCGGGATTCTATTGGCTATTCGCGGTACCGTGAAGAATTTCAGCGTCCGTTTGAAATTCGATGTCCGCGATTTTACCGTGGCCGTCAGAAGATTGTTCGTCGTCGTGTCTTCTTGATTTAAGACTTCGATCTTGACTGCGCATGTTTCCAGGGGAAGGTTTAATTTCGCGGCGAGGGCTTCGGTCATGAAATTGGCGCTCGAGCACGTGTCTATGAGCGTGCGACACTCGATCGCTCTGCGCTCCCTGTCATATACTTCGACCATAGCCGTTGCTAAGAGGCCGTGCGATGGGAGATCGGTGGATGATGCGGCGACCGGTGACCCCTTCCCGTTTGGTTTCGCGGCGTTCCGTGTCTGTCACGGTTTCGATTCCGTCAATCCCGTGTGTTTCGCGTCTTGGTGCAATTTTGTATTATGCCGCTGATTGCACACTTGGCATGTACCACCGCGGCAATCCTCGCTTCGGTGTCCCGGACGTAAGCAGTTCATGCACAGATCGGCCTTGCGCGCGGCGTCGATACGATGAATGACCGGCATCTCGATGAACCGTTTGCACGAATATTCTGCGTGTCCCTCCGAATTGCAGATGCTGCACGATGACCCGGCGATCGATCTCGGTGTCTTTCGTTGCGGACCCGGTGACGGTGGCTGCCGTTTTGAGTAATTTTCGCGCTGGTCGAAATTCGCGCGCGGCGGTTCCCTTGTCGACGTTTTCGTAGCGTACGTCTTTATTTTTTGGTATTGTGTCTTCGGAGAACGCGGGCGAAGATGGTACGGTCGCGATTGAGTCGGAGGCGGAATCGCGTCTCGATATGAGTTTTGTGTTGCGCGATTTGTCGGTTCAAATTCTTCCGTCTGATGTGATGCGTTATGCATGAATTTGATGACCTCCTCGAGTTTGGGAACTTCGGTGTCGGAGAGCGTACGTTCCCAGTTCCGTTTCGTTTCTTCGTCCATCTTCGAGACGATGATGCTGGTAATTAAATCCTGCGCTATGTTCTCCCAAGAACGACCGAGGGCTTGCAGGGATCGAATGTGCAGTTGCACGGGGTTCACGAGGTCGCGTACCGATTCGGACCTGTGATCGGGCATCGATGGCGAGTCGCGGAGCAGGGCCGCGTGACGGAGTACGAGTGCGCGTCGGTTGTCGTACATCTCGCTTAAGTGAGTCCACGCCGCTTCGTAATTCTCATTCGAGATCGTGAAAGCGCTGATCGCCGCTTCAGCCTTTCCCGATAGAGACAATTGCAGGTACTGCAATTTTTGAATCTTTGCTTAGCCCGGTTGCAAATCAATAAGGTTGTTTTGAACGCGTCCTTGAATGTGAGCCATGACTCGATTCGTCCGTCGAATTTCGGAAGGCTCATCTTCGGCAAGTTTACCGGCAGCGAGCATGACGACGTGGCTGTCGGGTTGCAGCTTCCGTTGCTGCAATTCGCGGGACTCGAATGCTCTCCCGATTTTGAAGGAGCAGCGGCGCTCGCGAGACGATTGAGCATCACCGTTGCTCTTGCAATCACGTTGTCGTAAATATCGGTCGCGGCGTTTCTTTCGACCTCGGCTTCGTCATAATTGTCTATGTTGCCTAGCTCGTCTTGGACGCGATTAAACGTGTCGAATTGCCCGCGAATGCGCAGAAGCCGTTCGGACAATTTTATGCGTTCTGTCTCGCTGTCCTTGAAGGAGTCCAAGTAATGCCCGAACATTGTTACTTGGCTCTTGCACGTGCGCCGTTTATTTTTCAATTCGCGAATTCGGACCTCGTGATTGTCGGACATGCTCGCGCTCGTGTCTTTGGTCGGAGACATGTCTTAATCGAAGTGAAGGATCGGAAAGAGAGGAAATTCAAACCGTGTTAATTGGCAATTGTAACGAACGAGCCTACCTTTCGCAGTCCGTCCAGGGGTCGTCTTGAATCTGTGGTCAGCGTTGTCCTGTAGTAGACCGTCGCTGTCCTTCCCTGGAGTCGTCCTCGTTTGGTCGGTTGGCTTGCCTCGGGATGGCCTTATACGAAAAGGCCTCCTCTCATACGGTGGGTGGATAGCTTGTGGATTGCAGGTTTGGTCGCACTGTTTCCACACGTCATTATCCGGCTCGAAGGACCATGACTCGTACCGTCGCGGCGGTACTGGCCAGGTAGTCGCGTGAGTTTTCTTTTAAACTCTGAGGGGTTGTAAGGCCCTCTTAACCCTCGTGGTACGCGGGTTCCTAGCCGTCGCTCGCCAAATTAATCTTGAGCGACTAGTTAATTGCCGGATTGTTTCGAATCGAAATCCGGCTGTTCTCTTTAATGTCGAATCACGAGTTGTTGCTCACGAACCGCTTGAGCTGAGGTTTCGCGAAATGATGTTCGAATAACGAATGGTTCACGAGACGATTGAACTGCCGATTTTGGAACGTTTACTCTGAGATTTCAGCGACGAGTTAAAGTGGATTTAGACCGTTGTCTTCGAACTTTTAGCGACGAATTAAAGATTTCGATCGTTGTTGTCTGAGGTTTCAGCGACGAGTGTCGAAGTGTCCGGAGCCCGTTTCCTCCTCGGCTTGAACCCCCTCCGAGACGCGATTTTGGGGGTTTCGTCAACCGATTCGCGTTGACTTTTTCCGTTTATCGATTGGCCATCGACTTGGGGGAGGAGGATCGATTTTCCTGCCCCGTTGGCCAGGAAACTCCTCCCTCGCGCGATCGTGGAGGAGGAAGAGTCCCATCTCACCCTGGACGAGGGTGACCGAGGTTTCCTCCCCAAGTCGAAGGCCCCGTTAATTTTGCCGAGGAAAAAACGGGATTCCGAATTACGCCTAGCTACACGTGCGTTGCAGACGTTTTATGGCTGCCTTGTTCCATGAGTTGGCGACGGTTGTTGTAGAGGACCGTGCCACCCGCGGAACAATGCAGCCCTTCGTCGGTCAACTCGGGCCTTGCACTTTCGAAAAGCTAAAGTGCTTGAATGCTTTACGATGAAATTTGCCAGATGCGGAATGTTCGAAGACTTTTTCGACAAAGTCAAGGTTCCGTATCTGGCACCATAAACGAGCGGAAAAACCCGAGCTGACCGGACGGAACATAATCTGTTGGTCAGATTCCACTATTACACTTGCTTGGTTGAAAAAACATGCTTCGACTTGGAAGGTTGTGATAGCCAACCGAGTATCAAAAATCCAAACCTTGCTTCCGAAGGCTGAATGGAGACACGTTCCCACCCGCTTCAATCCCGCGGATTTGAATTCGCGCGGTGTCGAAGCAGCGGAACTCATTCAGTCGAAGCTATGGATTTCTGGACCAGCATGGTTGAGACAATCTGAAGAAAATTGGCCGAAAACGCCTGATTCCATCGATACGAGCGAGGGCAAGCGCATTCCGCACGCCCACGTTGCAACTCCAGAGAAAGAATGGGAATTCGTGTTTCGATTCTCAACCTGGAGTAAGCTACTTCGCGTAACTGCATATTGTCTCCGATTACGAAGACCGATGCAAGGTGAGCGAAGGTCGTTCGATGCAAACATTGTCGAAGCTTCAGAATTGCAGCTCGCCAAGGAAAGAATCGTCCGCTACATACAGCGAACGCACTTCGCGGGCGAGTACCAGTGCTTAAAAAAGCGCAGGGAAATTCCCGCGAAATCTCCATTAAAACGTCTGAACCCGTTCCTAGACGCACACGATGTCTTAAGGGTAGGTGGACGATTGGAGAATGCGACGCTGGCATGGGAAGCGAAGCACCCCATAATTTTGCCAAAACATCATGTGTCCACCATGATAATCCGGCAGTGCCACGTAAATACGTTGCATGGGGGCTTGCAGCTGACGATATCCATGGTAAAACAGCAATTTTGGATCCTCGGTTGCAGAACCACGGCTCGAAAGGTCATTCATCAATGCATGAAATGCGTGAGATGGAGGGCACAAACCTCCACGCAGATCATGCAGGATTTGACCTTGGAACGAAGTCGTCCAGCCCGGGCTTTTCTAAACTGCGGAGTTGATTATGCGGGACCGTACAAAGTCCGCGACTCCGCGGGCCGAGGAAAAACAGCTCATAAAGCGTACATAGCGGTTTTTGTCTGCTTCGCTACAAGGGCTATACACATTGAACTCGTCCACGATTACACGACGAGTGCATTTTTGGCTGCATTGGAGCGATTCATTGCCCGACGAGGAATCCCGTCCTGCATACGCAGTGACAACGGGACAAATTTCGTCGGTGCAGATCGTGAATTAAGAAAACATTTCAATATGGTGTGTAAAACGCCGGAAATGCGAAACGAATGTGGCCAGAAGGGCATTCGGTGGAAATTTAATCCACCCAGTGCCCCTACTTCGGTGGGATGCAGGAAGCTGGTGTCAAATCAGTGAAGCATCATTTGAAGCGCATCATAGGAGAATTCACTCCCACGAGCGAAGAATTACAGACGTTACTCTGTAAAATCGAAGCCAGTTTAAACTCGCGACCGATTGCCGCTCTGAGTGACAGCCCAGATGATTACGCGCCTCTCACACCGGCCCACTTCCTAATCGGCGGGCCTACGTTGGCACCCCCAATGGAATCCGTGGAAAATGTAAATATTTCGCATCTTACAAGATGGAGAGCAATGCAAAAATTCCACGAGCAGCTCTGGAGACACTGGACGAGAGATTATCTCACGCATCTCCAGAACCGCTACAAATGGCAGACGGAAAATACACGCCTAAAAAAGGACGATCTTGTTCTGGTACAGAATCCTCTCCTCCCCCCAAATCAGTGGGAAATGGGAAGAATAGAGGAAGTATTTCCGGGAAAGGATGGGCATGTACGTGTAGTTAAAGTACGTACAGCCAAATCCACATATACACAACCAATTACGCGATTGTGTAAACTGCCTGTGGCTGAGTTTTCGTTTGAGTCACCTTCGGCAACGGTCACCGAAGTCGAACAGGTGATCTAAACAAAACCGTTCAAGTTCGAAAGGACAAGGATTTTGGAAGGTGAGAACGGTTGATTCTGAACGGCGGCTGAAAAGGCCTGGAAACCCGAACAGGGCGTCGCAGAACGATGCCCTGCCAAAGGCAGCCATCCAGGCCATCCTCGCTTCCCTGCAGGTGCTGCAGGGAAACAATTCCACTGGACCTTCCAATAAATGTGAGTAAATTGCATTTTTTTAATTTGCATGCGCCTACTCTCACTCGGGTCGCGGCCATTCGGTAGAATCGCTCCCTAGTTCATTGCACGGACCGTGCAAGGGGGGCGGTATGTTTAAAGATTGCATAATGCCGAGCGATTATCCTCGGCCGCAATTACCGTTAATCCTGTTAACGTACAATAACCAAGAGATTATCTCTAATTGGATTTGTATAGCGAACGGTGATTGAAAAACGTGTGTATTATTAGTTTTTCTGGCATCGGTAACGGCTCATTACCTTTCGATTCGAGTGTGCTAACGGTGTTAGTGACGTCAGTACCGTGAGAGAGTAGTGCGCCGATAATGTGACAAGGAGAGACGGCCGAAATTCAGACAGCGCCACGGAACGACCAGTAAGAGTACCGCGGCGACGTCTTCGGCTGTCAATCCGTATCATTCTTACGGCGACTTCTGACCGAGACGCATCGGCTCCCGATCATATTTCGATCAGAAGTTAATCGCGATTGAAGAGGGAAAATCCTCTTGCGAGAAAGCCATAAAGACTGCTGTTTAAAAGGGTGTAGCGAGCCTTGCTCGAAAAGGTCGGAAATTCATTCCCACCTTGCTTGGAAAACACGATTCGCATCTCGATTCGTGCAAGTTCACCTGATTCTCGTTCGAGCAAATCTCGATCGAGTTTAATTAATTTAAATTTACTGCAGATTTTGGAGGGCTCGAGAATACACCAATAGGGTGTTCGACCCCTCCTGTGCGGAATTTAAAGGTCGATTCCAACGTATACACGTTGAATCATACAGAAGTCGGCGGTACCGTCCATACTTCTGTGTGATTGCCCTTCGGCTTAGGAGACACCAAAAGGGAGGCACCTACGTGGTGTACCTCCTGGTGGGCTCACTGTAGTCAGGTCCACGTCCATTTTGGACGTGTGATTTTCGGTCTTCGCCTCCTTATTTCTACAGATCCCGCCGGTGTAACGTTTAGAGGAGCACCAGTGCGGAGAAGTAACGGAGTCGTGGGTCAGGCCCCCGCGTAGTTCAAAATACTGCAACGTATCACGTCGAGTAGTGTATTCGTGCAGTGAACAACGTGTTGTCGGGCTTCGCAGTGTAACTCTCGGCCAAATAAGTCATCTGTTGGAACGTGTTAAGAGAAGCCGCAGATTGACGGTCGTGCAGTGCACTGCAGTGCGACTCGACGCACAGACTCAGTGTGCATACTCACGGGAACAGTGCATTAGGAGCCTTACAACCTCCTCTTGCATCCCCGTCCACTGGGCAATCGACCACTGAATCGGCGAAGAAAAGAAGTTTAATTCTTTTCCTAGCCAAAATACAGTCCACTTATATTTCGTAATTTACGACAGTTTACATTTCTCCGCTCCGGTACGTTCGAATTACGAAGCCAGGAGCGCGAGCAAACGAGCGCGACGAAGATACGTATAACGTGTACGTGTGTCTAACACATAGTCGTGTTTTTCTGTTCATAGGAATCTTGGCCTACCTCAAGCCTGCGAGTTCGGCGACCCAGCATCGCGGAACGGCCAGACACGAGGCCAAATTAATATTTCCCTGTTCAGTCTCGTTACTTTTAATTATAATTATTCGTTGGGTTTTTCTTTTGTTTCTTTTATTTGGGTTTTGTAATAAAAGGTCGGTCCTAAAGACCGACGAAAAGAAAACCATTTGTGTCCGAT